AATTACTATATTGATACCATAGAATTCCACTATAATTTATCAAGCTTAGTAACAAAGCTGTATTTTGGTCTACAAAAATATGAAATTTCGTGCAGACTAAAGGCACAACCTACCTCCTTGAAATCTTGGTTCAAAAGAACGAGATGGCATCCTAAAACCTTTCAAATGGCTGAGAAAGCCATTAGAGTGACATTCTGAGCTTTTGATTGGTTATTCATGTCATATATCGAACTATGTATGTATAAGGGAACGTTTCCAAAAACGGAAAGAGGTGAGCTGGGCCACTGCATTTTATTCAGTAATGAGCGATATCTCAGCAAATAGAAAAGATAGGAGGTTCTTATTTTATATTCTAGCTTGTCAATATTGGTAATTTGAGTTCCTAATTCATACAGAACATTTAATTTGAACCAGTGCTGCATTCAGCATACCATGTGACACACAAAAATCGATGTTAAGGTATGTTTTTTTATTATTTAATTTTAAACAAAGAAATTAAATAATATATATTACTAAAATTTGAATTATAATCTCCAGTTTGATACCAAACGTAACGACACAACTTCATAAAATAGTAGTTCAATAAAATTTTGAATGCGAGTCAATAAACATGATGACATGGCCTTTGACCTGTGACCCACGTGGAAAGTGTTAATTCACTTACATATTGGTAGTAATATAACTGTGTAAACTGTTATATAATATTTTATCTAAAGATTCAGTTACAGCAAAATACAAGTGAATGTCGTCTGAAATCATTCCAGGTCATATACAGTGCAACATAAAAAATACAAATTTAATTCTATCAGTTACACTCTACATTTGATAAATTTTCATTACAACTGAATGTATTTTATTTAAATACACTTTACTTCAATTTTATAAGATCAGATCCTACCCAGTGGTTTCACATAACACATGATTCCAATGTCTATTACTACAAATATGTAATACAGAAACTGGTGATCAACAATGCATATTAAGTACAAATGTCAACAAATCTATTTAAAAACGTCGTCACTAGAATGAAACAGTCCAGTCTACCTGCAAAGAGGATCTCATATGACAAACAAAGGAAAACCCAATTAAAGAACATTTTTTTCCTATAATGCTTTGATTTAGTCTTTAGGTTACTTATGTAGCACACTGAGCTCATGAACAATGACCATCACAAACATACTTTTTAGTATTACACCTATTTAGTTATAAATAACTTAATTGGGGTCAGAATGTAATTCAATTATGTTGTTTAGCAAAACTAACACAATATGTAAATATGAAATAAATTCATTTGCATATAATAAAAAATGCAACATTTCTGACAAAAGCCTGAATACTTTATAAACAAGTCCTTTTAATTTTCTCCAAAAACTACTGTGTCACCATATTAGAAATTTTCTTATGATGTCACACATACATATTACACAGGTATTGTAAACAAGGAACCAGACTTTACTCATTTGTGTATGAAATGTGTGTGTTACCAGGTTTCTTTAAACTGGAAACCCCACCACCTATATGTTAATTTTATCAAACAAAGAAATTACCTTTAGTAATAATGGTTGGAGGCGGCTTGAATGGGTAATGAAGAAAAACTTTAATATAAGTTTAACATAACTGCAAATGTACAACATTTCGACAAGGTTTTGTCATCATCAGGTCATTACCTTTAGTAAATCTAGCATAAAGATCTAGAGTTTTATTTAAACAAAAATATTGATACTAACACAGTAGAGAGTTGGAACAATTCTGTATTTGTGGTCTCTACAGCTTACATAGTTAGCTATGACGAAATCACTGTAATCAAAACTTTGAAATGTTGTCAGAATTAGTTTTAATAACAGATGAATACTTATTATGATCTTAATTAACTCTCTAGCTACAGGTAG